GAGCGGGCCGCCTCCCCCACCGCAGCAGCATCACGGCAGTGGCCACTCTAGACGGGCTGCTGCTGCCATCAGCACAACCACAGCGAGGGGCGCAGCTGCTGCTTCAGCACCAGGAGCAGCGTGTGGCTCCGCGGCCGGCGTCGCGAGCTCCACAGCGGCAAGCACCCCCGCAGACGCCGAGTTTCCCACGGCCAGTCTCTTGGCGGCTGGCTTCCTCCTCCTTCACGTCGTCTGCCCTCCGGCCCGGAGCCAAAGCTAACAGCACCAACCCAGGCAGCTGGGCCAGCCAGGAGCAAGGGCAAGGGCATCTCTTTTTTTATTTTATTTTTTTGAGACGGAGTCTGGCTCTGTCGCCCAGGCTGGAGTGCAGCGGTCGGATCTCGGCTCACTGCAAGCTCCGCCTCCCGGGTATGTGCCATTCTCCTGGCTCAGCCGCCCGAGTAGCTGGCACTACAGGCGCCCGCCACCCTGCCCGGCTATTTTTTTGTATTTTTTAGTAGAGACGGGGTTTCACTGTGTTAGCCAGGATGGTCTCGATCTCCTGATCCGCCCGTCTCGGCCTCCCAAAGTGCTGGGATTACAGGCTTGAGCCAGCGCGCCCGGCCAAGGGCATCTCTTATATACCACTCCGCCCTACCTGGGCCACACGGCATCACAGAGGGCCCAGGTCCGCCGCACTAGGGCGTCATCAGACTCAGGGTAGAGGCATCACCCTTCAGTTGTCAGGGGCTCAGGAGAAACGGAATTGCACTCCCAGCAATGACGACTGGTTGGAGGATGAAGACACCAGTCACTGAGAGGATGAGAGCTGAGAAAGAGAGAATTCATTCAAATACTTGGAACCTGGGCTGGGCGGAGGGCGTCTGTGGGTCTCGTGGAATTTGGGGCACAAAGTCCTGAAGGAGTGTTCCTTTTCCCACTGGGAATACCTCTCAGGATTTGAGGGCAGTGGGTTGACTCAACTTCTGTAGCAATTTGCCTCATTCCTCCCTGGACCCGAGGAATGGAAAGTAGTTTTTCTCTTTGGAGAGAAGATACTAAAAGTTCAGAGGGTACAGCAATATTAGATTTGGCTATGCCAAGACAGAAGATAAGAAGAGTGCTATGGTGCCATGCGTAGTCCAGGAAAAATAAATGTTATGAAGATAAATGTGTCCTCCACATGGAGCCTTTGATGTGTATAAAAGAATTGGCAGTTTCAGCAGTCTGCAAACTGTATAGCTCAACGGTCATAACATTATCAATAGCTTGCATTTAATCTTAGCCTTTGTAATGGGATGCTAAGATGGAATTCAAGGTCTCAGACTGCAATGAGGTCACTAAAGGCAGAGAACCAATGTTTACAGATAACCCCTCCTTAGAATGTTAGCACTCCTTTGCAGCAATTACAAAGGAAGGGGCTGGTGACTGTTTTTGGGAGAGTTGGCTCATTCCTTACCTAGATGATATAAGAAATTAAAAAGAGGCTGAGAGATTTATTTGGAGAGGGTTATTGAAGAGCTGGGCATTGGCAGTAGTTTCATTTTATTATTTTATTTTATTTATTTATTTATTTTTTGAGACAGAGTCTTGCTCTGTCGCCCAGGCTGGGGTGCAATGGCCGGATCTCAGCTCACTGCAAGCTCCACCTCCTGGGTTTACGCCGTTCTCCTGCCTCAGCCTCCTGAGTAGCTAGGACTACAGGCGCCCGCCACCTTGCCCGGCTAGTTTTTTGTATTTTTTAGTAGAGACGGGGTTTCACCGTGTTAGCCAGGATGGTCTCCATCTCCTGACCTCGTGATCCACCCGTCTTGGCCTCCCAAAGTGCTGGGATTACAGGCTTGAGCCACCGCGCCCGGCCTCATTTTATTATTTTAAAGAAGATCAAACCAAGAGAATCAAGAATGTTCTTGAACCTCAAAGTGAGACCCAACATTCTAAGAGTAACCAAGAGTTATAAGACCTTTCATTCCCTTTGATGAAATCACAAGGATTTTGCAGATATCTTTTAGGGACCTTGAGGAAAGGATAAAGTTTGCTCTTGATGGAGTCCTGCTCTTTTGATGTAAAAGTTACACTTTCATTAATGAGTAAAGTAGCTGGGACATCTTCTTTCCTACCTTACACTAGTCAGACAAGTAGGTTGAGTCACTGATACCACAAATCAAAAGGAATATGCACAGGACACACTGGGCTCATCCTAAGGGTGTTCATGTTTGGACACCATGTCATTTGATATATTTAGGCTGCAGAGGAGAAGGCTGGGCTAGTCAACAATCATCGTATACCAATAACAAACACACAGACAAGTCCCTGAGATGATTTCAGAAAGTAAGTGCCACAAAGAAGATACAATAGGGCACAGTGAAGTAGAGCATGACTGAGGAAAGGGAGCTTTCTGAATGAGGGATTTCATAGCTGAGTGGGTGATCTCATATAGAGATTCACATGAAAATAAGGGAGCAAACAGATGAAAAGTTGGGTGGTGGGCTGGGGGACGGGGCGGGGGCTGTGGGGAGAAATGAGTGCTGCAGAGACAAAAGAACTCCCTCCAGCATACATGGCACACTTGAGAAATAGCAAAAAGGTGGGAGGACAAAGTGGGAAAAGTTGGGGGATGATGCCAGAGAAGAAGCCAAGGGCCAGATTAAGTTGGGCCTTGAGGCCACGATAAGGGTTTTGGATTGCACTGGAGACCACTTACAGATTTTAAGCAAAAGATTTGATCTTTGAGGAAATCATCCCTGCTTTGTGAGGGTACAAGTTAAAGTAGGAGGCAGATGTAGGCCATAGACTGGATTAGGAAGATGTAGCCATAGACCAGGTGAGATGATAGTGGTATCATAGGCTTAAAAATAGTCCTGGAAAAGATATCTGTGTCCTAATCCCCAGAACATGTGGAGATTACTTTTATTTTATTTTAGATGGAGTCTTGCTCTGTCACTCATGCTGGTGTGCAGTAGCACAATTTCGGTTCACTGCAACCTCCTCCTCCCAGGTTCAAGCAATTCTCCTGCCTCAGCCTCCCGAGTAGCTGGGATTACAGGTCCACGCCACCATGCCCAGCTAATTTTTTTTTTTTTTTTTTGTAGTTTTAGTAGAGACAGGGTTTCACCACGTTGGCCAGGCACATCTCGAACTCCTGACCTCAAGTGATCCACCCGCCTCGGCCTCCCTAAGTGCTGGGATTACAGGCGTGAGCCACCATATGCAGCCAATTACTTTATATGGCAAATACTTTACAGAAGTAATTGCTTTAGGATACTGAGATGAAGTGATTATTTGGATTATAAGGATGGACTCTAAATGCATTCACAAGCATCCTTGTAAGAGAGAACCAGAGGGAGATTTGGCACAGAAGGAGGCAATGTGACCTCAGAGACAGAGATTGGAGTGATGTGGCCACAAGTCAGAGAATGCTGGCCACCATTAGAAGCCAGAAGAAGCAAGGAAAGGGTTCTCCTCTAGAGCCCTTATATGGCCCGTGGCCCCGCTGATGCCTTGATCTGGATTTTTGGCCTCCAGAACCATGAGAAAATAAATCTGCCTAAAGGGAGCAAGTTTGTGGCTGAAAACAACACAATTTATTACAACAGTTACAGAAAATTAATACTAGTGGCTTGGAGTAGGGTTTTAGCAATGGAGAGGGTCGGAAGTGATTGGATTTAAGATAAATTTTTGGAGACAGGATCAACAAGATTTGCTGATGTATATAGTTTAGGTGTCATAAAAGGCAAATAATCAAGACTGATTCCCTTTTTTCCTGAGCAAGGGGGTGGATGATGACATCGTTTACTGACATGGTGGAGGGTACAGGCATTATTGTTACATGTTTGCCATATTTATGTTGGAGAAAATATCAGCTATCATGTGTCAGTGCTCTCTACATGCCAGGCACTGTCCTAAATTCGTTACATGTGTTAGCTCAGTTAACACAGGTAAGTCAAGTGGGCAGTAAGATATATGACTGGAGTTGAAAGAAGGCTAGGCTAGGAGCCATCGTGTATTTAAATCCACAGACCTAATTAGATCACCCAGGAGAACATCTGCAGACGAGAGAAGATCTGGTTCAAGGCCTGAGCCAGGGCACACTTCATCTTTTGGCAGAACAGAGGGAATGGATCCAAAAAAAGGAAAGAGGGAGCCAGTGAGGAGGGTGGAAAACCAGGAGCATAGGAAGTCACAGAAGTAAAACTGGGGCCAAAAAATGTAGAGGGAGCCATAAGGATGAGGAAGACGCGAGCTACATAGTCGCGCTCTTTCTAGGGCAGGGAGGCGGACAGAACTGACAGCTGCTATGTGGCAAGATGACCGTCGCCAGCGACCCTGTGGAGCGCCACTGCAGTGGCTGGGCGGGGAGGAAAGCTCCATCAGAGCCATCTGAAGAGAAGAGGATGGGAAGCGAGAGTCCACAGAGAATGTAGGCGACTTTGAGGAGGAATCCTGATGCTAATAGAAGTGGGCTGTGACTGTGGGACTCTGCGGTCCAGAGGGCTCCAGCTGGCTTTCAAAGTGACTGGTTCTGCATCACGTTTGCGGGCGGCAACTGTGAGGGGGAAATGGAAGGTGAATACACAACGGCAACAAGCGAAGAGGCAACGCCCCCAGACAGGCCGATGGGCTGGGGCTGGAGCGCAGGAGGCCTGACCCTGTCTCTTCCACTTTCCCTCAAACCTTTGGTCACCAAGCGCAGACGCTCACCACGGAAGCGACGCAACCACAACTGCCGCGGGGCTCCGTGACACGCGCGGGCGACTCGAGTCGGGGAACCACGGTTCCCGGCGGGCGTTGCGCGGGGCACCCAGTGCGCAGGCGCACGCCGTCGGCCTCCGACTCGCCCCTCCCTCTGGGGCGCGGGCCTCAGTTCCGGGATACCGCAGCCGACGCCGAGAAGCACCGTTTCTTCTTAAAAGAGAAACGCTGCGCGCGCGAGGTGGGCCCCTGCCTTCCAGCAGCTCCGGGCCTGCTCGCCTCGTCCGGGAGGCGCAGGCGCAGGCGCAGTCGGGGTGAGGGCGAGTCGGGGCGCACAGGTAATGTCGGGGTGGGGGTGGGTCGCGACGGGGTTCTGGGCAACCTGGGAGCTGCCATTGGGATTGGTCCGCTCCACTCACTGCCAGCATTAAGTGGGGGTGCCCAAGACGGGGTGGGGGGCGCCTTCCAGACCTCTGACCCCGGCCCCACCGTCACTCGTCCCAACTGTGAAGAGCGCTCCCAGGAGCACGCCAGGACGCGACCTTTCCTTCCCCTACAAAGCAGTAAAGGCCGCTGCCCTCTTCAAGATGAAATGTGTGGACCCCTCCAGCCCAGTTGAAATTTCCCGTGAAAGTCTCTCGCCCCTTCCCCACGGCTCCACTTCAGTGGACTGGAGGGCGCAGGCCTTTGTTCTGCCTGCTTGTGTCTGCCGGCCTCCCCCTCGACGACACCCACATGGTAGCGCTGAGCTTCCACACCCTGTAGCACAGAAGGACGGGGTTTGCTCCACACCTGCCACTGCTGTTGAAATAGTTTAGTCTTGCCCCGGAATTGCATAGATCAGTGAGTCTTCCTCACTGATGAGGAAACTGAGGCCCCAACG